AGTGTTGTGTTGTGCGCTGATCTTACCTGATCTTACCTAAGAATGAACGGCCCTGCTACCGGCGATTTCCTGGCAAATCCTTTTCCTCGGGCTGCCTGAAAGTGAAAGCCGAATCTCACATGTTGGTCTCCCAGGAGATTGATCAATACTTCATAGACGTGGGCATCAACCCCCACTCGACCTGAAATTCATCCTCGGTTCGGGGCTAGCTGTTGGTCGTCGTCAACCATTGTTCAATCGCATTCAATAGTCCCGTGGTGGTTGATGGGGGCTCGCAAACCCTCAAGCTTAGGTAGGGGGTCTCTCCAGCTAAAACCCAATAAGTAGCAGAGGCGTTTCTTTTTTCCTCCGTTTCAGCAGGCTTGCACAGCCTCACTCGAAAGGGACATATCACCCGGCCTCCGGCTAGATGAGCGTTTGTCAGGAGTTTTATAGAGCCGATTTCCTCTCGTGCAGTGCCGGCCCCTCGATAAACAAGTGCTTTGGTGGTCCTTGGTGAAAAGATGGCTGCCACCAGCTTCATGAATGTGGTCAGTTGCTTGCAGCAGCGATCTCTCTCCTTTCCCTCTAATTTGCTCATGAGCGAATCATGCGCCCATGGCTGATGCGGGAGGGTGTGATGAAGCCACTCAGTTTGTTCAATCAGCGGGCTTTGCGTACTCCCAAGTGGACCTGGCACAGCGCATCTGACACATCAACTGTTCAGGTATTTGGAAGAACGCAGTCTCAAATATGCGCTGCTTCCCAATGCCTCGGGCTAGACATATGCCTTGCTCCCTAGTGCATCGTCGATTTTCTCTTGGAAACGTGGTTGTGCCATTCTAGGCTTCTTTTGTTTGTTCGACTCCGACGGTACGACAGCGACGAGAAACGAATCGAAACGGAATAAAACGGCCGGACGAACGGAAGATCGGATGGAGGGACGAGCGGACGAACGAACGAACGAACAAAGGAAAGAATGTTGTTCCAATCGACAGATGAGAAGATCAACCAGCAGCACAAAAGACAAGTACACGAAGATAGCATGCAGTTCAACGTAAAAGTAAGCCGAGTTGGTTACTTCATGCGGAGAATAGCGACGACCAGTTCTCGAAACCGAGTGAGTAAGGAGGCAAGAGATTCGAGAGAGTTGAGAGAGGAGGTTGCCAAGAGGTGTCCAATGTCTTGAGCTGCTGTTCGGCATTGGGCGTCGTGGTGGCCTTGTGGGAATGCCTTTCTAGTGAAATCGGGGGTTCGTGGGAAAAGACGGTGAGGTCGTTTGGTCTTGAATATTACAGACGATGTAAACCAGGTGGACAGGCTCAGAGGAGTGACCATGTGGCAGCTCATCTGTAGACTACTAGACTCAGCTTCGGGCATTCCTCCGTTTTGTAAGTGAGGAGCACGTTTTGTATCCGGCGTAAGTTTAAGAGAGAGAAGTAAATTGGTGCGCTTCTTCTCGCTGTAGTTCTCCCAGTAGGTGGTGGAGTGCTGAGGGAGTCGAAGGTGTAGGTGACTTGAAACAGGATGAGTGATTGTCAGGGGATGAGAAAAGGGCCAGACGAAGGAGGGGAAGCATATGCCAGCTGAGCCTGATCTGATCAGGCATCCAGCCTGTCCCGAGCCTTCGGCTGGTCCTTGGTGCATTGCATGCCTGCCCGTTAGCGAGTAGGGTCTCCCCACGGGTCCATCTCGATTCCGCCAACCCACCAGATCGATCTGGCCCTCATCTTAGTGTGACTTCGACCCCACCATCTGATCCTCCCTTCCCGTCCCATGTTCCTACCTTAGTTCAGTAGGCTGAGTCAGGGATCCAAGGATCTTTCAACATCAGTCGAGATCTTGCCTTTGGTGACACCAACAACCTGATCATGAACCGCGGCATCGCGATGGATGGAGCACCTATAGACTCATGTTAGTTAAATATACCCTGGCTGAAATCATATTTCCTACTGGAGTGCCCAATATTGGCTGTCTCATCACCTGAAAGAGAATTCTTGTGATGCTGAAATCGATGGATCACGTAGGCGCACTCGCGAAAAACAGACCCATGGTAATCCACCACAATACAAGTATTATATAATATCAGTGCTGGTATGATCGGAAAGCTTTTCGCGCGATTGAAATTATAGGAAGTGGATTCTATTTTGCATTAGCAGGTGATGGCAGGTGATGAATAAGAGATCGAGACATCTTAGCCGTCCGTTTGGTGACCAGTGCATTTTAGCAGGGCAGCAAACCGATGCAGCTGCAGCAATGAGCCGAGAAAGTGATAGCGGTAATATGAGTGGTTTATTGAAGAAATAGAATTGCCCATTGATTTGTCGCAATCTGCAAGCTTGGCGCTTTGTGTGAAGCTGCCGGTTGAAATAATCATGTTGAAAAGAAGGGGATAATTGGGGCTGTGTTTTACGTGGCACAGCAGTCACGATTAGGTGCATTCAGTTGCGGGGGACGATACGGACGGTCGGCCATGAGTTGATCCGGCGGGAACGCGAGGAGCAGCGATTGTTGGAAAGCAAGGGATGGTGGTCGAAATGGCGGGATCATGAGTCTGCCTGACCTGTGGCCGATTACGGAGCGCTGGGCCCATTCAGCTTTATTTAATTCCAAGTCGGCCTTACCATATTTACATCAGCAGGGGGGAAAGGGGTTAGCCAGAATACGTGCTCCAGCTGAAACGATTCCAGTTCATGTACCGTGCTATTAACGGACCTAGACTGCTGCCTACCTGGTACATAGGTAATGCAGTGAAGAAGGCCCCGCTGACGTCGGTGATTGATGCTATGGATTCCCCCCTGTATCTAACCATCCTCCCTCCGTGTGTCATTCTTCTCCCATAGGCCACGACCCGGCAGGTGGACAGACTCAAGACTCTATGGCCCTCGACGCATTCCCTTGCCTTTGGGTTGAAGGTGTAGATAACAACTGCAGCTCCGGCAGTAGGCGATATGGCTGCGGTCGCCATGGTGGGCGCGCATCATGAGTCCCCTCCGCTGTCGTTTTACCAGGTATTGTGTGGCTGTGTGCTACCTAAAAGGAGGCTCTCCACCAGACGCGGTCGGTCACACAAGCAGCGTGAGTCCGCAGGCCCAAGTCCTGTCCTTCCTGGCTCCCTACCCATCTACCGCCACACCTTGCAAAATGCGAATAACTTGTTCACCTGGCGGCAGACCAATCTCAAGAGTCGGCGAGACTATCGGGATACGAGCTCCATGGTCATGTGCGTATGTGTATAGGCCCTCGGGGCTTCCCGACGCTCCCCACCAGTTCTTTGCAGTTTTCTCTTTCCGCCGCCAACATAGCTTGACCCAAACTCGCTAATGCCGTCATGTTCAGGATCCCCCGTCCACTCCACTCCAAGCCAGGGTCCTATCCATTTCTTCTTGCCCCTGTCGACGAGGGAACGCTACTCTCGGGGCATCTGACCTCTTCAGAAAATATCTTCTAACTTCAGCGTCTTGCAAGTTTTCCGCCGCCAACTAGTGCGCGAAACGGTCTCGGTGTGCAGGGTCTGGCCTGGCATTATGGCGGACTGGCTCGGGGCCAAGAGGGAGTCCAGGGATGATCACATCCGAGTGACTGTACTCTGGGACATCTAAGCTAGCAGGGCCCCTGCTGCTTTCATGATGCCCGCCATGCCATCTTTGGCCGCAAGTCCTCGCCACTTGGCTCTGAAACCCAATCAACCCTATCGCCTGGCGATGAAGCGGTTAAGCATGCCTTCCTACTGGTCTGAATGACCAAGCAGCAGGCGTTTCCGTCATGTCGCTTCCCTCTTCCCTCTGCCCACTTGAACCTAATATCGTCATCGCCCGCACCCGCGTAACCAGCTCAAAGGGAACATGGGTTCAACTTTCGACTTTTGGTGACTCCAGGCCGGGCATAAAAGGTTGACGGGCCCATCACTGATCCATCTGATCTTGAGCATCCATCCACCGGCTCTTGACCAAACACAAAGCTCCAACTGCTAGACTCCGCTGCCCACCACCATCGGCTCTCAGCCACTCAACTCCCTACCCGGCCACCCACAACGTCGTGCACCATGTTCCCTCCATCCACCTCGCCTATGATGAGCATCTGCCACAAGAGCTCGCTGCGCAGCCCCGAGATTGACGACCCCGGCACAACCATTGTCCCGAAGTAGCTTTCGCGTCCTGGGCGATCCTCGCAAAACTAGAGAGGTAGGTTCTGTTGCAGCCCCTCACTCCGGGAGCCGCCGTTGACCAATTGCAGGCGGCATCCATGCTGGAACAGACCATCGTCGCTGGAGGCAAACACCAAGGGGGATTGCACACACTGATCCCATATGCCAGCGTCGTGTGTGGGGATATGATGCGTTCCCCCTGCCCCTCCTGTGCCTGGATCGAGGGGAGACAAAAAAGGGGGGGGGGGCAAAAGGAATTGAACGCAGTGTTACCAAGTAGGGCTCTCTCCAGCTTATAGATAGAGAATTTCAATCCCAAGCTTCCCCACACCTAACCCATGATGAGCTCAATAGTGCAGACCTGCATCTGGGTCAATCAAAGAGCAAGTCGAGACGGCCGACCGAATGCATCTGGAATGTCGCACATTGGTGAGATTAGCGTCGCCTTTGGAAATTGACGGGCTCTGTTTGGTCGTTATTTGGTCGCCATCAGCGCCGGTCATCCTGACGGGTGCGCTGTCTCCAATTGCGTGCCGGATGCCCCTCCATGCTGTGGGAAAAATGACCGAAAACGTGGCGGTGTGCGCGCCAAATATGACAAGTAGGGCTGCCTCTGCTTCTGGTTTGTAGCCTTAAGGTCGTCGAGCAGTTAATTGACCGAGAGAGTCGTCATTCCTTGTGTCAGCGGGCTGTGCTTTGAAGCTGTTTTTTGCATTTGGGCCACACTCCAGCGTCTCTCGTGAGCCGTAGAAATCCCCAAGTGAGAGGACGGATTGACGTATTAATATCAGGCTCTTCCCGCCGGACATTCCAGAGATCAGACCGCTCCTGAAGACAAACAAGCAGGAGATTGACCATTTGCAAGCACCTCCTCATGGCTCAGCGAGTTCGAAGCTTTGGGCTGATTAGCCCGAATGTTCCAGGCGACAGTGGGAACAGCGCTAGCCCAACCCCCCTGCGATCGCTGTCGGCCGCTGAGGCGGGCCAACTGCCAGCGGATACGCCCAGCACTAGCCAGCATCAAGGTCCGCCCCTAATGCACCCCGCTCTGGTCCCTGTCCCCCGCTAACACGAGCGATTAGCTGCTCCCCCCGCCAAATCGACAAATGCCGGCTTGGACTCGAAGTCGAGTAAGGTTTCTCACTGCATCCCGAGCTGAACAGGTGGATCTAATGCCTCGCCAGAGTACATTGGCCTGCTCCGTGTGAGCGAGCTCCAGGCCCGCGACCCAAACTACCAGGGCGTGAGGACCTTTTCCGATGTCTTTGCCTTCACCCAGGCGTACTTTGAGCATCAGCTCGACCGGGACTGGCGCATGGTTCAAGATGCCATCGTCCGAGACGACGATGCGACCGTAGAACGTCTGATGGAGGAGCGGGTAATCAGCAAGGTCTTCTCCACCAGTAAGTCTCGTGTTGATATCGACCTTGATTACTGCTGTGCTGTCAAACCTGACCGTCCCGTAGTGAAGCTGGCCCAGCTGAGGCATTTCATGAGTGGTCTCAACAAGATGTGTAGCCGTGATCTCAAGGTCTTCCTCGACTATGTCAGCTTGGAAGGCAAGAGCGACGTTCAGTATCCTTGGACCACGAGGCAGTGGAGGGCACTCAGAAACCCGCGCGTCTTCGAGGACTGGGCGAGGTCCATCATCATGAACGACAAGGCCAAGATTAGCCGATTCTTGGTAGGTAGCTGGTCGCAGTGTTGGCCTGAGCCTCCTGGAGCGGACTGACGTGACTAGGGCTTTCTTGTCAAGTTCACCGACATCAACATTGTCGGCATGCGCAAAACTGAAGGGTATCCAGACCGACTTATCAACTTCCTCGCAACCGGGGCGAGTCTGGTCGCAAGCATCTTCTTTGGCGCGCCCTTCGTGGTCCTGGCTTCCGAGGCCTTTACGCGATGGGTGAACATCGTCATCATTGTCGTCTGGGTGCTCCTGTTCCTCGTCTTTCTCGTCTGGTGGGGCTTTGACTCGTCGCATATGTTCTTGTTCGTATTGGCTTACACGACCATGTTGGCAAACATCAAAGTTGGAGGTGACTAAATCGAGGACGGCGACGCGGCAGATACGGGGACGGCTCAAGAGCCATCCACTTTCAAATGGGCCAGTTGAGGGGTTGGGCGGCAGTCATGTAACGTCTGGGTTATTAGCTATTGAAATTCGAGATGATGAGTACCAGCTTACCTCGAAGCATTGCCTTCATTCTGTGACTGTGTAAATGATATTGTCGGTATAAGATATCTGTGGTCCTGGGAAGTTCAAGCCTTGACGTTCTTCTAAGGACTGGCCCATGGGAGCCGCGTGCTCAATGCGAGCTGAGGGAATAAAGGAATATCCGCCCATCCCCAGGGTTCACAGGTGTTTGGGGGAGCACAAAGTATTAAACTGCATCCCACCGAGCTCGCAAGCCAAGCCATTTTAACCATTTGCAGACCGCCCCCCCGTTAACTGCTTGCCTAAATCAAGTTCATTGATAGGTACCAGCCAGCCTAAAAATAAAAACCAACAATGACCCCTGTGGGTTAGTTTCATGGGACTTATCACTGATTCTACCTTCCAGGCTCTTTTAAAAAATATTATAAATAAGAAATATTAATAATAATAAATATTATTCTTTATTAATGAATTTATATTAATTAATTAATAATATAAAGTAATATATAAAAATGTTTATAAAAATAGAGACTTTAATTAAATAATACTTAGAACTTTTAATAGATTATTAGTAAAATTAGGTAATACTTAGATATTTTTTTTAAATACTTAGATTAGAAGCATAAAAGATTTAATATATATTGCGGTTCTTAGAAGACATTATTGAATTAATCTTGGTTATTCTCGTGGCTTAACCTACTTTTAATATGTTTTATTGGTTGAAGGTGGTCAATTTGAGAAAGTGGGTAGTTAAATAGAAAGCCCCTTTAAATTCATGGTGTGAACGGAGTAAAAACCAATTGATTTGATCTATGGGCGGTGTGGGTGTGGGCGAATCTTTCTGCAGCTGTTAACGCCGACACCAGCTGACCTCTTCGTCACAAGTGAAATGTGCATGTAGCATTTATGCTGGAGATCAACAGCCTAAGATATTTGACCGGGTCCTTACATGCATCACGTTTGCTTTTGCCTAGCCAACATCACTTATGGCGGGTACAGAACTGCTGTCGTTGGCCAGGAATCCCCTGACGGTTTCTACGGCCGCATGAGGCGAGAGATCAAAATATACGGGCAGATCCATAGTTCACAGCATGGGGGTCGTCAATGGCTTAGCTTTTTTCCTGCCCTGGCGTACGGCACCAATGGGCGTTTCCACGATACGGAGCTATCGCGATGTTTTGGGTTCCAGCCGTACATTGATTTTCGTTGATAGCGAAACAATAGCAGCATTGGTGGGTGGCATGTGAGACAAATTGGCTCTTGGCTAATCAATGGTCTCTCAGCACGTGATTGGGCGTAGGATCACCGTTTGGCACCAATACACTGAATATTGCACCGCCCCCTGCATCCATTGGCATTAATAAATTGGTAAAGGTCCGAGCAGCTCAAGAAGGCCCTCTTCCAATCCTATATCGTCTCTCATTCCCCCCTGTCTTGCCTGAAAGCTTCCGATATTAACGGATATGAAGTCGAAGACTTATCTAGATGCAGTAACCTCTGGCAACTGTCATGTGGTTGGGGTACGTGCATGTGCGTAGGCTAAAAGGCTTTGAGCTGACTCTGGATAATACACAACATCTCACAATCAACCCAACCCATTCCCAATACAGATATCAGCTGAAAAGCCTAACTTGTAACATTGGCTGCCCAAGCACCCCACACAACCATGCACCGCCCCCTTCCTCAACCCAGGACTGTCATGATTCATCAAACTCCCTCAAATAGACTTTTTGGATACGACGTCCGTGAAGTCTCTCGTCTAAGGCGTTGTGAGCGCAATGTCCGACGCATCAGTGGATAAGTCGCCTCTGTCGCCGCAGGCCTACACGGTAGGGTTGATCACAGCCTTGCCTGTCGAATACGCTGCCGTCGTGGAAATGCTGGACGAGAGACACCAGCCACCACACATCCAAGGAGAGGCTGACGTACAATATACAAATGGCCGAATCCACAGCCATAACGTAGTAATCGCTTGCCTCCCGGCTGGTGAGCCTGGCCTTACCTCTGCCACCACTGTCGCTACAGAAATGACTAGCCATTTTCCCAACATTAAATATCGTCTCCTCGTTGGGATCGGGGGTGGAATCCCAAGCGATATCGATATTAGACTGGGAGATGTTGTCGTGAGCCAACCCAGCAATGGCCACGCCGGGGTGGTGCAGTTTGACCTTGGGAAGCGTCTGCCGAATGGACGGTTCCAACAAACCAGCCATCTCAATAAGCCACCAAGACCTCTGCTGCAGGCTTTATCGGAGGTTCAAAGAAAACATATGCTGGATGAGGGTTCGTTTACGGAATACTTATCGCAGCTTGGGGAAAGGCGGAGCAAGTTCAGACGTGAAAAGGCCGGACCGGACTGCCTTTTCCCATCTGAATATCCCCATAAGAGAGGCAACAACTGTGACCGATGTTCCAAGAAGATGCTCGTAGAGAGAGAACCACGGTCAGAAGAGGAGCTGGTACAAGTGCACTACGGCACGATTGCGTCGTCAAACTCTCTTATTAGAGACGGAGTCGAACGGGATAAAATCTACGAAGATCTTGGCGGCAACATCCTCTGTTTCGAGATGGAGGCTGCCGGGCTGATGAATGACTTCCCTTGCCTTGTGATCCGTGGTATCTGTGATTATGCAGACTCACACAAAAACAAGAGGTGGCAGCCTTTTGCAGCAGCTACGGCAGCAGCATACGCAAAGGAGTTGCTCCAGGTGATTTCACTAAACAAAGATGCAGAATTCGACGAGATCCAAGGCAAGTATTTCATTACCTACCTATTTGATCGCCACACTGTTATGTGTAGTTTCGATACTAACACGGCTCCTTCGTAGCTCCATGGATTTTACCATTCAACCGAAATCCTCATTTCACTGGCCGCTACAAGCTGCTAGAAAGACTCCAATATTGTCTTAATGACCCTCAGAACCACCCATCAATCGCTATACACGGCATTGGTGGCACCGGGAAGAGCGCTGCCGCTGTCGAGTTCGCCTATCAAGCCCGCAAGAGCAATCCCACTCTAGCGGTTTTCTGGGTTTCTTCATTTACAAAGGAGCGTTTTCTAGAATCATATCGCGAGATCGCGCTACAGATTAAAATTTCAAAAACGGACGATTGCGATGACGATATTCTCAAACACGTCCGAAAGAAGTTGAGCGAAGGATCCATGCGCAGATGGCTCATCATAGTCGACAATGTGGACGACGGCTCGGTCCTCTTTGATGCTAATGAGAGCGGTGATCGGCTATATGATTATCTCCCCCATAGTCCGCAAGGGATTATTCTCTTCACTACCCGAACCCGCAAAATCGCTATCGATGTGGCTCCTCATGATACTTGGTCACTTGGCGAGATGGATTGTTGCGAGGGAAAACAGCTGTTACGGAAGCTCTTCGGGAATGAACAATATTTAGCAGACAACGCGCTGGAAAAATTCTTAGAGATGGTCATATCACATCCTCTCGCTATTATCCAGGCTATCGCGTTTATCAGAAAAAACGGCATCTCCCTGGAACGCTATATGGAATTGTTCGAAGAGAGCCGCAGTTCCAGGACTGAGCTATTGCGGGAAGCTTTCAATGACCCCAACAGAGACAGGGAATCGAGAAACGCCGTTTTCCTCACTTGGAAGATTTCTTTTATGCGGATAGAAGAAGAGGACAAAGTTGCAGCTGCTTACCTTAGCATCTTGGCTTGCATTGCACCGCAAAACATCCCACGAGCGATTTTCCCACCCGCAGAATCAGAAATTAGTCGGGAAAAAGCGCTTGGCACACTAAAGGCATATTCGTTTTTGAGCAAGCGGACTGACGGGGATATTTACGACGTTCATCCCCTAATTCCAGGCATCGTGCAAGAACATCTAAGAGAGAGAGACAGATGGCACGCAGTCACGGTTATTAGCGTTTTCTGGTTAAGATGTTTGATTCCAGACGGGGGCTATGAGAATTTGAAAGAGTACCCGCCGTTTCTTCCCCATGGAAAAGCTTTTGCAGAAATTCCCGAATTGAGGCGCGAGCCGGATGTGCTATTCTTGCTTCGCAGCGTTGGTCAATGTTACAACAGTCTCGGACAAGGCGCAATCGCCATTCAAATATTCGAAGACGCCCTTGAACGCTTTAATCAACAGTTTGGCCCAAAAAGCCATCAGACTCTTCATACCATGCATCTCTTGGGGAAAGCATTTCAAACACACAAGAGTTATAAAGAGGCAGCACGTACATTCGAAGAGCTGTTGATATTGGAGAAAGAAGCCATTGGCGATGAAGATCCTCGGACACTGGTTACTCGATCCACCCTAGCATCAGTATATCAGTCTCAAGGCAAATGGCATGAGGCTAAAAGATTATATTTGCAGGTAATGGAGTCAAGGAAGCGAGTGCTGGGTGAGGATCATCCCGATGTAAAACATAGTGAAATGGATTTAGCCTTGTTGCACCGGGATCAAGATCGAGGGGCTGAAGCTGAACTACTGCTGTTACGGGCCCTTGGACGAACATTGTTAAGCCCTACGAATGACTTCAACAATGTTATTTTCATCAAGTCTCAGTTGGCATTCATATACCAATGTACAGGCCGATGGAAGCTGGCTGAGGAGGTTGGATCACAATTGGTCGCTGCTTCGAAGAAAATTCTTGGCGAGGATCATCCTGACACCTTGGAGTTTCTTGCCAGCATGTCGGGAATCTATCAAGGACAAAATCGGTGGAGCGAAGCGGAAGAAGTGCTGTCACGGGTAATCGAGACCAGAAAAACCATCCTCGGTAATGAACATCCCGATGTCCTGGCTGCGCAGGCAAATCTTGGTTTGGTATATCAGAAGCAAGGAAAATTACAGAAAGCCGAAGACCTACAAGTGAAAGTGATCGCGGTCATGAAAAAGGTATTCGACCATGACGAACTTGATCTCTTGCTTGCTCAGGGAAACCTAGCATTCACATATCACAAGCAAGAACGGTGGGCGGAGGCAGAGAAGCTATTCCTGGAGCTGGTAAAAGTCATGAGCCGAACGCTAGGTGACGAGCATTCAGAAACCTTGAAAGTGAAGATGAACTTGTCATTCACGTATCGAAGCCAGAAGCTGTTGGAGAAGGCTGAAGACTTGCAACTGGAGGTGATGCATACCAGACGGCGTGTGCTTGGAGACAGTCATCCTTGTACTCTCGTAAGCATGCATAGCCTTGCTCTCACTCTGATGTGCTCATTCCGTGTCAGTGAAGCTATGGAGCTTGTGGGACCAATTCTTGATAATTCTAGTGAGGTATCTCCTCTGGGGGGCCAGCCCACCATCATAATTCGATGCTGGGACTCGGCCGAGGAGTCACTTTGGAAACATGTCATCGGTCGAGGATTGTTTATGTCTTCAACCCAATTCAACGTTTTCGAACGTAAAGATGTCTCAGATGCATCATCAAGCTAGACTCTTTTATTTCTTCACCTTGTCAAATTACAGCTTACTGGATATCGGCTTTTGTATTTTTTAATTAGAGGAAACAGGTTCAATGAGTTTGGGAAAGTCGGTAGCATGACCTGCACGTGCTATAAGCTACTTGTTATAGGTTTAATCTAGCTTGCCAATCATCCTTGAGAAACGTGATTGCGCTCATATCAGGCCCTCGACCGGCACATGCTTCAGAAATAGTATAGTCGTTAGCTGTAAAAGCTTGGCAAGGACTGCCGAAACCCGACGTTTCAATAGAGTCTTGGTATTAGATATAGCCGTACGGAACAGAACCCAATATCTACAAATCTATCATCATCAAGATCTCCCCATCCTCATCTGGGGGTGCCGCCTGCCTGAATCCAAGTTTCTGATAAAAGCAATAAGGTGAATCCTCAGGCTTTACAGTTTTGGTAGGATTCTCGCTCTTCTTCCCCTCAGGCGGCGTTGAATTCACTCCCAACTGCTTTGCTTTAGGATGGTGTTGTCGTATATGTGCGATCGCAAACTCCACGCCACGTCGGCCATAGCCCAAATTCTGATACCGGCCGTCGATCATGAATCTCCAGATGTAGTATGCTTCGCCGGCATCCCAAATTGCCATCATGATCATTCCGACGAGTGTGTCATCCGCATAGATGGCTCTCACCCAAGCATCTTCATCGTAGTGCGCCTCGCAGAGAGACCACACGTTCGGTGCGAGGTTGCCAATTTGGCCGTCTTTGAGGCTTAAATTTGCTACCGCACGCCAGTTGTCCTCGGTGACTTCGCGAAATGTGAGATTTGAGTCCTTGGTAGGGACAGCAATGTTTTCTGGATCGCTCATGACGTCTGGGAGATCAAATGGTAGGTGAAATAATGCCGAGATTGGTAGTATTTGTGTCAGTGATTACGCAGAATATGAATAATGTGGTTGTACATATTCTTGTCACGAATTTAGCTCCATGTGGAGGGATTATATAAGTTGACAGCCCATTGATGACTGTGTTTGACTCATTGTGACGATCAATCCAGGTGGCGAACACCATCTCATGGGAACAAGGGACTTCTGCAACCCCAGTCAATCAGGTAGCATCCCATTAAATGATGACGCATATCGGGCGTGCCTGATCAAAAATTAGATGTCAAGTCATAATGCGGGTGAGCGTTGGAAGCTGGCATAATCTCAGGTGTGAGCAGTAAACCTGCTGGTAGGGCCATTCACAGCGCTTTTCGATCGTCTCGCCCCGAGGTTCCTTGTCGCTTGAAATCGACATGTTAGGAATATCTCTCGTCTGGATGTTGAAAGACAAAGCGCACGATTTTCATTGATATTCTCAAGACCTTAGATAAAAAAAGCTACGCCATGCTCATAGTTTTCCACATCGTTCTCAATAATCGATATCAATTCTCCGTGTTTGCTTCTTATTGCTATGCGAAGTTCAGGTACATATTAGCTAGAGCCAGTGAAAAATACAGGTTTCGGTCGGTATACTCCTAGCACTTATGTTCGTATAGAAGACTGCCGTACGTTGGACTTGTTCCAAATCACGTACGCGCACTGTGAGCTGTCTTATGAACTTCAGTGAAACTGGCAATTCCCATAAAATAAAGAGTGAATTGGCTCAGTTGTTCGACGTACATAGATACTTGTTTCATTGTGTTTGATTCACCTGAATGATAACTCCCACCATCTTTATTCACCAACATCAGCAAATGAATAAATAAGGTATCTCGTCCTGGGAATACCAACTCTTCCTCTGTCTCCGCAGCGCTATTGACCTAGTCTTAGAGTTTGTCGATCTTAATATTCATCAAAACTTCTCTTTTTATCTCAGCGCTTAACCATCATACCAGAAACACCATATTCAAACCGTCTATTCCTGCACCATCTTCTAGCAGTCTCTTGGCAGTTTCATTGTCAGCTTCTAATCCTTATTCAAATCCCGTGCCCATGAAGGTTCCTGGTGCAGTGGTGAGGCTGTTCAAGGGAAGTGACGCGAGACCGAGAAGGCGTTCTCCCGAAGCCGGAAGATCAACGAGACGCCATCATGGAGAGGAATCCGAGCCACCACTGCCGGGAAGGCCTCGTCCAAGACCAAGGACGAGGAGCCAAAAGGAATATCGTCATGACGCCCGAAGAGTAACCAGGCCAAGAAAGCGATCGGTCGCAGCGAACGTGGAACGAAGGAGACAGCCTTCCATGGAGTCAAAGTCGGATGGCTGGTCAAGTGCAACAGATGTTGATCATCTACCGGTAGGAACCAAAAGCAAACCTGAACCAAACAGGGACTTGCACCAAGAGGTGGAATCTCTGCGTCGCCACAATGCATTCCTGACGCAAGAGAGAGATGCTCAAGAAATCGCAATCGCGAACCAAAATAGCCAGCTGCAAACATCTCTTGAGGAAGTCGCCACTGCGCAAGAGAAGCTTGAACACGAAAGATCCAAGTTTCAGGCTCTGATGATAGACATAGAGAAGTCGAAACGAGAGGGTCAAGATTCAGAGAGTCATCTGACGAGGCACACTCAGCAACTTGAGGCTCAGCTTGAGCGTTACAAGACTGACAATATTCGAGCGTCGGAAATTCAGAGGAATCTCGAATCAGAAGTGAAGGACCTCAGAGCCGCAAAAGACGCTTTATCGAAATACATGGATCTTCCTACCGACGAGTTACGCCAAGAAAACATTCGGCTTGAGGAGGAGCTGCGGGCTAGAGATCTGAAGCTAGATGAACATCAACAAGAGTTTGGAAGAATCCAAATGAGCAAGGATCGCGCAGAAAAGGCTCTAAATGATTTAAAAAAAGCCAAAGTTCCCGCGGACCGAGAGCGAGCTGGGATGCAACAAACAATCGCCACGATGCACGCCAGCACGGCCGAGAACAGCCGTCAGAAATACAACCTGCAACATAAATACGACACGTTGAAAGCAGGAAAGGCTTCAGTCGATCAAGAGAATATGAGATTGAAAGCTTGCGTTGAAGATTTACGAAACGCCAAGAACAGTCTAAATCACGAGAAAGCTCAAACGGCGAAGGAGATTCCAGGTTATCGTCTCGAAAAGAGAAATCTGGAAAGGGCCTTGGAAACACTCGAAAACGACTGGAAGGTTAAACTCGAACAAACAAAGAATGCCCTTGAAGCCGAAAAGACTCATGCCGGACGCGAAAAGACCTCTCTAAGTAACAAGCTAAAGGCGGCAAATGATGAGAATCTCATGCTCAAAAACAATCTTGAAACAATGAAATCGCACAAGGCACGTGCTGATCAGCAACGGAACGATCTAAATTCTAAACTGGAACTCTCAAAGAACAAGATTCGTTCACTAGAGCAACAGCACAGTGAGTTATCCAACCAGATTGGATCTCTCAATGCCAATCATCTTCAGAAGGACAGGGCCTTCGCAGCGTTACAGGCAAGCAAAGCGCGATTGGACAGTGACAAACACTCTTTGTCCGAAAAACTCACAACTCTTAATCGCTCACTTGAATCTGTGAAAGCTCAATCCCAACGAGCGACAGACGCGTTACGGGGAGAAATGGAAGAACAGCGTCGGCAATCAGAGGCCAGGGTTAGAAAAGCCGCACAAGCTGTTGGGGGCCATCACACCCCTCGAACAATAATTTTTCAGAAGATTCTCTCCCAGGCGCGGGCCTCTCGGGGCATTTCAGAGATTCCTGGGGCCAGTCGCTTCATGGAACTTTGCACATTGTCCTCACTGACCAATCAGTGCCTTGACCTTCCTTTGAGTACTAAAAAGGCTCACAAGCTAGGGAAAAGCATTCGAGGCAATGAGATGTCCATTGCTGCTTGCAATGTGTGTCAGCTACCCAAACTGACACGCACTGACCAAGCCCCCAGGCTGAGGGTTGATGAGCTGGGACAGAAAATGCAGTGCTGTTCTGCGAAAATATGTCAATCATGCTGTCTGAAGGGATTTATTCGGTCACTTCTCAATGACTACTGGTTTGAGTTAGGGAAGAGTGTCTGGGTAAAGTGCCCATCAGCCAACTGCGACGTGTCCTTGAACATTGGGGGAAGGGACGAACTTCAGGCCACGCTTCAGAATCTGGGAGATTCAAACGTCACCAAGCACATGGCAGCGTAAGTTGCTCACCTTACCCATACATCCACTGGCTATGACTGACTTATTGCTCTAGATACGATCGCATCAAAACCTTCAGACACGCACTCAGAGGTTTACCAAATCTGGATCATCAGAGTCTGAAAGCCTCGTCAGCTTTGTACTTCCAACTTGTATCAATGGGTCGTATGCACAACATTGCAGATCTTCCTCCTGATGCAGTTATGGCTAGGGAAGATATGCCGAGTTTCAACCCCGCTGAAATACATATGATAAGTGTCGAGCACCAAGGTGCTACTGTTGACGTGGCATTTCCTATTGGATTCATACGCAAGAAAAGAATCCCCAAAGACTGTGCTTTCTGTGTAGAGAAAATGTACGACATTGAGACAGATGTCGGTCGAATCTGGAACTGGATTGAGGATTGCTCCGGTTTCAACGGAGAGTGGATGTGGGAGGTGCTGAAGTTCCCATTGAAGCTTGCAACAGAGTGCAACCATGATATTGATTTCTGTACCGAATGCCTACAGCAGCATCTCGAGGTCCAGCTAGTGCGATTTGGGCGAGGAAGGTGTGAGCATCTGTCCTGCCCTTTCCCAGAATGCCGCCGACATTTGGCGTATCAAGAGGTCAAACTATACGCAAAACCTGAGACGTTTGCCAAGTAAGATATCCTATACACCGTGCACGCTGAAACTCCCAGAACTGACTTGTTTCGACACAGATACGATCAATATCTCAATCTCAATGCCTTGAGTCAATCCCCTAATTTCCGTTGGTGTCTTCGCCCGGGTTGCAATAATGGCCAGCTTTACGAGGATGTCGGGCCAGATAACCCTCTTGTTATTTGCAGCCAATGCGCCTTCGAGATGTGCTACAAGCATTCGATACCATGGCATCATGGTCAGACTTGCGACCAATACGATAGCGCAAGAGTGCATGGCGATCCAAATATCCAGCAAACGCGAGATTGGATAGCCCGAAATACGAAGAAATGCCCCCAATGCGGGCAGGATACTGAAAAGGGTGAAGACTGTTTTCACATGACGTGTAAGTTGTCATCTTTCACCTTGCCGATGCAAACTTTATTCAGATTTGTACAGTACCGCGGCCAAGCAAGTCTACTAACAAAGTGACATAGGTACGTTATGCAGCCATGAATATTGTTGGGAGTGCCTAGCACCTTGGTCTAGAATATCGCCACGTCCAGGAGACTATGTTCAATCAGCGCACCATCAGGGCTGCCGCTTCCGTACTATGAGGGTCGATCCAACTCAGGTGTATGGGACAAGTCTAGATAATGCACTACGGGGGCACCGGTAACTGAGTTTATGAATAATCGAGGGTGGGATATAGTCAAGTTACTATCGAACAAGTCCTGGTGGACCACAATGGGGAGTTAGCATCAAGGAAGGGACGGCGGCTTTATCAAACTTGTCATTCCAGGTGCTATCGCGAAATTTAAATCCTAGAAAGGATGCAACGCTTGTTTTGTTATTTATTCATCTTATCATTAGGCCCTGTTTCTAGGATTCAAAAGGAGTTTCATATGGCACTTCAGCCTGAGGGGTGATCCTGGCCAAGTGCCTTCGCTCGCCATTCTCCCAGTCCACCAAAGCAGTATGCTGAGTGACTCGGTTATCCCAAATCACAACGCTGTCCGCCTCCCACTTGACGCGTACGTGCAAGTCAATGCTTCGAGCGATGTGGTCGTACAGAAACTTGAGCAGTGCGTCAGACTCTTCTCGCTTCAAGCCAACGATCTCACGAGTGACTGTAAGTAGGGTTAGTTTGGGTCAACGCGCCTTGGAAGCCTTAATTCAACTTACACTGCTCATTCACGAAGATTGCCTTTTCGCCGGTAGCAGGATGTGTTCGAATAATGGGATGTTCGCTGATAACGGGCTCGCGTCTCTTGATGCTACCCTTTGCGACAGAGGCATTCACTTGCTCAATACCAGAATGAGTTGCCTTGAGACCGTGAAGACGTTGCTGGAAGAGAGGGCTCAAGCGCCGGTATGCCAGTGCAGTATCAGCAAAGACAGTGTCACCACCGACGTCTGGCCCGTCGAGCAGATAGAGGAACGTTGTGCCGGGTGGCTGCTTTTCATACGTGATGTCAGCATGCCAGGCAACGGAGCTTGTGCGGGCCTCGAAGAAGGCCTTGAAGTTTTGGTCGTTGGCTCCACGATGGACAAGGTGAACCTCAGGGTGTCCTTCCGGTGCACCCGAAGTTGGGTGGATGTGATGACGGCCAAAGTAACCACCGAATTCAAGAGCATCTTTGATGGATAGATCGGCAAAGTCTTGGCCGCGGAAGGCAACAACCTTGCGCTCGGCGACGAACCGAGTGAGTTCGTCTTTGCCTGCATCGGAGAGGGAACTCAATTGAACGCCCCGGACTTCAGTGCCCGTGAATGGCGTCAGATGGTTGACTGTGGTGCCCTCAGGGAGCAGATTGCGGTAAGATGTATCAGCATCCTTTCCGTGCTCGTAGTGCTCGAAAGGTTCCAGAGCGGGATACTTTTCTTCCGCGTTCCATGTTGGCAAGTAATGGGGATACTGATAACCAAGTATGTTAGCAAGATCCCGCTGCTGATAACGCACCCAGGCAGTCACAAACCTTGGCTCCGGGCGCTCCGGTCTTTCCTAGCTCTACATCACGGTCGATTTGTGTGGTGTCAATTTCCTTGTGCTTGTCCAGGTGCAGGTGGTAGGTTTGGACGTTGGCTGGGCCACGGGTAGTAGTGGTGGTCTCGGTTGCAGAGGGTGCCATGATGAGTGATAGTTATGAATTGGTTTGAGGAACATGACCGGTCTCCTCCTACGGAAGCAGCTTCTTATTTATACCTCCTATGATTTCCACGTGGACCCCGCAATCGGATTCATCAGCATCATGGGGGATTGCTCATCTCTAAGTCGGGGTGCAGTGTAATGCGGATCTCGGAGAAATGAATCGCACCACCTCCAATGACACAAGAGCCCACATACTTCGGAACCTCCTGCGTTTCCGTCAGATCTTGGTTGGTGCGGAATCCGTTGATGCTATTTGCTGGATCGATCACGCAATTAAGCGTCGATCTGTGGTGGCGGTAGCGTCGGTCTAAACTGTGAGCACGCCATCGGTTTCGCCATCTCCCCCTTAATGCGAGATGGGACCTTTTGCCCCTGACCGCTAGTCAGTTAGCCAGTAAGCAACCTTGAATCCGTTCCTTATCAGATCAACATCTTCACTCCCATGCAAAGCCTGCCATCTAATGGCCAAATCTGTCCCTGGGCATGCAACTAGCACAAAGCTAGTGCGATGTCGGTGTCATGATAGTCACTTCCTCCAGCTACGGTCACACATCTAGTGTCCTAAACTTAGACGGCGTATCTCCCTCATACCGAAGGGTAGAGCGCGTGCTCACTCTGAGACGTTTTCTAGATAGTGTCTCACTTATCCTATGAAAACTGGGTTAAGCAGGTTTTCTTTGAGAGTGTCTTGTTGGGCATTCATCATATCTTAGCTATGAAGTCTTTAGAGGAGAGAGTTTCCCTAGAATATAATTGTTCGATCATCTTACTAGCTAAGGATATTATTTTAAAAGAGGACGTTATCATGATTGTGTTTGATGTATTCAAAGCCCAAGAGTTAATCTCGAATAAACCATACTCTCACTGTGCGCTATCCAAATGTATTAATTTGGGAGACAGGAAACAAGTGTTGATTTAAATTATCTGATCCTGTTATCCAGTTCTGATTTTGGTTGGTTGAGTATGACAAAGTCTTATTGTGCTCCAAACTGAGGACAGCTCTAGGGTATGGTGGTGGTTTTCGCGACTGAACACTGGCCCGTTTTCTTGAACAGTCCTTAACAAATCATGCCTGAGCTCTTTTAAATATCGTGGAATCGTTGATCGAGATTCGTAAAATCGTCTTCAGCTATATAAATGAGCATGTATGACTAGACTACACGAGCTCAGAGTGGAAAATCCTCCTCCGGGCGTAGTCGAGAAAGACACGGGTTTTGGAGTCGATGTGAACATCAACACGACTTGACCCCAGGGAATGATTTCAAGCAGTCGGCAGAGTTGTCGGAGAAATGCCGAAACTGGAAGCTTGTCAAGACACAGCTCTGCCCAGCGCTGAATCTTGCTGTCCATCTTAGTCGCAGGAGATCGTGCCATACATGCTGGACAATGGCGTTGACGTGAATTAAGGAAAAAAAATAATAATCACGCACGAGATCTTGCTTCAAAAGCTGGTTAAAATGACTAATTCGCAAGCACGGGATTAGTGTGACGAAACCCTACTTCCTAGCCGTGAAAGGCCAATTTGGAGTTGAGAATTGAACGGAGCTGCTTGATATCATGCCCCAGTGAATCACTACAGCAGAGCAACGGGAATCGCACAGATCCCACTTCTCTTACCTCGCTGCCATTTCATTTCTGGACGCGCCATTCAATCATGAGTATGAAGTTACCTAGCTGCCGGTATCAAGAGGGATAGGCCTTTTCTAAAGCACCTCTCTTACTTGTAAGCAATTTCCGACCACGAAAATATCAACGACAGCGAAAATCGATCCTGGAACATTAAAAGGAATTAATCATTATGTCTAGAATTTGGTCGAAGTCCTGCTTTCATTATGAGCTCCGTGACCAAGAAGAGAACTCCAACCCGGGGATTTCGTAGGCTCAATGAGCAGTCGCATATTGATGGTGGTAGCTGGCGAACTTGGAGATGTAAAATACCCGAGGATCGTTTTTGAGGTAGTTGTAAAAGATCGATCACTAAAAAAAAAGTCAGGGCCGGCTGCACGACCCAGTGGCGTGCTGTCGATTCGCGCGCCCAGTCAAGCCAGTGATCATAGTGCAGGACATGTAATTTTGGAAATCTTTATGGAACGCTTGGGAAAGATTCCTTAACATTTCTCGCGATGGATCGCGTTTCTGTTCTGTCAGAATGGATGAGTGAACCCCTTCATGGATGACACCTCAGCGCAGATAACGACCTTTGATGCATCACTGACGCGCCATCTTGACATCTAGAACTTTGCTCTTATGCGATGCCACGGCACATATTATCTTCCTTACCCGTATTGTTTTGGGAAAAGGTAGGGAGGAATAGGGTCGCCAAGGCCTATCGGGCTGAGTTGGCTCACATATAACAAGTTCCGAGAAGACCAGCGGAGAATGACTGCCCGACGGAGTCATAGAGCAAACCTTTCTATTAAGAGAGACGCTCTACCTAGACGGCAATATCATTGCCGCGCGCCAAGATACAGGCAACAGATCCCCCGCCTACCAGATCGACGTTAATTTGTCTAAACTCTTTGCCACGGCCGGGTTTAATCCCATCTCCACCCGGCCACAAACATCGGCGAGCCCAACTGGGAAAGAGTCTGTCGTTGCCTGCATGGGATCTTATGCTCCACAATTGAAAATATTTTCCCTTCATTTCGCCATTCGGCTCGATCTCGTCGGGGGTCTCCTGACTCTTTATTGTCGGCGGGTTCTGTCATTGCAACGCTTGTTGGAAAGACCTGGAGACTCTCACCATCACTGCCGTTGGAGAACAGATCCTAGTCCGGACGCCCTGCTGTGAGAATGTCGTCTCCTCGTCCTGCTCACCGCGGTGAAGAGACCTCGGCTCAAGGCGGCACAGGCCATGTCATCGCCGTTGCCC